AAAACTTTAAGTTCGATTTTCTCGATTATATTTGAGTATTGCACTTTAGTATTTTACAGGTAGTACACTCACATGGTGTACTACCTGTAAAATACTAAAGTGCAATACTCACATGGTGTACTACCTCTACACCAAAGATCATCAAAATCCATTACCCCAAAGCCATAGGCTCTCCTTGTAAGTTTTTTTTTCTTTTTTAAATTTGTTATTTTTCAAATAAATTTCTAGTAATTTCATTCATTCTTATATTAAATCAGTGTTTTTCAACTTTTTTCACATCATAGACCAGTAAAATTGTGAATAATTTTACATGGACCAGAAATTATCTGCAACTATGAATTATGCTTATTTATTAAGCTTATATATGCTTATCTAACTACTGTTTAATGCTATCTAAAAATAATGCATTAAACAATAGTTAATTAACTATAAAAAAACAATTTCTAAGTGACATTGTTTAAATTACTTTTATATTTTTTTAATAAAATAAACTCATTAAACTAGTGACACTTTTATCGTAAACTTGATATAAGTAATCAAAAGTTAAAATTTATAGTACCATGCACTCTTGCTAATCTGAACAATATTGTTTGTAGAAGAGAAAAGTTCAGATTACAAAGATTATATGTAAGGTAAGTAAACAGAAAAATTTTTTAAAGTCAAATATAAAATATATATATATATATATACAGTAGACCCCCCTATATCGCAGGTTCATATAATGCGGATTCGTATATCATGGCAAAAAAAATTACGTCAGTATTCATATAAAGACGCTAAAAGAGCCTCGTAAAATGCAGTAAAACATCATCGCCGACTCGTGTCACGACAGGATTGGTCGAATCTGGACCAATAGTGGACGAGCAGCTGAACTACTTACACACTACAGAGAGTTTAGGTGGGTAAGTTGAGTTTACTATAATCTGCACAGCATATAGGCCTAAATTAGATACTGTAAGTCTAATACAGTACTGTAATTTTATACATTTCTTGTGAAAAAAACATTTCTTATTCAACAGCCATAAAAATTATTTCTATTAATGATGTCTCCAAAGTTCAACAAATTTTTTGCAGAAAAATAACTTATCAGAAAACGCGGTTGCCATTTGGTGCACTGCTCTGCGACAAAAACAAGCTTAAGTAATGGCATCATTGAACGGTGCACACTCGGTAAATAATCCTACAATTTTTCATTTATAGCATAGTTTATACAGATTATTCCCAAAAAATTATATGTGTTTTGGAAATGTTGAGTCAAATTAGTCTAGAATCGATGAATTTTATGGAAGAAAACCTTTCAAACAGCCGTAGTCCATAAACTGCACATGCCAGGCTGTGATTGGTTCATGTATTTGAGGATTCCTACAACACAAAATTCTTATAAAGCGGAATGTATCTATCGCATTCTAGGGGATCGACTGTGTATATATATACATATATATATACAGGTTGTTTTTAAAATTATTGTTAAAAACTAACTTAAAATCATTGTCTTTATTACAATATAATAAACAGATATTCCAAATTTCTTTGTAAAATAACAGTATGCTTTTTGAATACTATATATACATCTATCATTATATGAATGCATTTATACCTGAACATGTAAGTAAATAAATAATATATAAAATATATAAAGTAAGCTGTACCTGTTGAATTCTGATAATGCAGAAGAAACAATTTGACCATAACCCTAAAAAATAAAAATTTCTTTTAAAATATTTTTCATGAGATTCAAATTTACTATTTATTATTATTATTATTAATAGCACTTTATCAGACTAAAGTCAAAGCATGACTACAGAATAATGTTTTGTTTATATTCTGTTTGTAAAAGTATCTGTTTAAAAATTTCATGTCTAAGTGACATGTTTAGTATGACAGCTTTCTGTAGTATGATGTATGTGATTATTATTTTATGTAATTGATAAAAAAATATTCATATGCACATATTACAACAACATATAATTTATATTTTTACAAAAATTAATCATTATTTTCAAAAAGCTAAATATTTTCAGATAGATAGCTATTTGAAAGTTTCATGCTTTTAAAAACTAAAGAAAAGATTATTTCAAAAAAATTCTTTTTCTCTATTATTTATCATAATATGACACTTAATGTAATCTACTGTATTATTTGGCTAGTCTGATCCTTTTACACTATCTTTATTGCAAATATATTACAATAAATTTTAGAAATAAGTTTATGAAATTTGTGTAACAACAGATTAAAAATAATGACATCATAAATAAAAATATTTAGAATAATTAAAAATTTAATAAGAATGTTCAATAATAAACTAAATATTCATTAANATACTGGTGCATAGCACTTTATCAGACTAAAGTCAAAGCATGACTACAGAATAATGTTTTGTTTATATTCTGTTTGTAAAAGTATCTGTTTAAAAATTTCATGTCTAAGTGACATGTTTAGTATGACAGCTTTCTGTAGTATGATGTATGTGATTATTATTTTATGTAATTGATAAAAAAATATTCATATGCACATATTACAACAACATATAATTTATATTTTTACAAAAATTAATCATTATTTTCAAAAAGCTAAATATTTTCAGATAGATAGCTATTTGAAAGTTTCATGCTTTTAAAAACTAAAGAAAAGATTATTTCAAAAAAATTCTTTTTCTCTATTATTTATCATAATATGACACTTAATGTAATCTACTGTATTATTTGGCTAGTCTGATCCTTTTACACTATCTTTATTGCAAATATATTACAATAAATTTTAGAAATAAGTTTATGAAATTTGTGTAACAACAGATTAAAAATAATGACATCATAAATAAAAATATTTAGAATAATTAAAAATTTAATAAGAATGTTCAATAATAAACTAAATATTCATTAATTCAGTTTATTATTAAAATAGCAGAAATCACTGTCACCAAGAAAATAGCTAACATTCCAATAACTTGTTTGCTCAGAAAAATGTTTATTAAACATTCATACACATTTTTGACCTGTTCTACAAGTCATCCTCAGATGCAGAATACAAGCTACTAATCCTTGTAAATCAAACATTCTTACAAATATAAACATGATTATTAGATCAAAGCCAAATGATTGCAAGACTACATAAGGCTATATTAATGCTACTAATTACTAATTCTATATCAAGTAGAGGTATTACTAGTTATGCTACCCAGAGATCTGAGTAGCATAACTGGTAACTGGCAACACATCCACACAGCAAGTAGGAGTTGAAAGTTTGAGTCCTGCTTTGGGCTGATTTTTTTCTTTCAGAACCTTCTAAATTAATTATGCATGCATACATACCCTCATCCTCATAATCCAAAAAGGATAAGCAGCAAGCAAAAGAAAACTACAATCCTACAAATCATTCATTTAGCAATTCTCTCCACACTTTTCTATCCAGACAGCTCTCTTTTGCTTCAGACACACTCATGCCACTTCTAACACCCTTCCTCACATTCTCTTTCTGACTCAACACCTCACATTCTTTCAGATACTCATCCACTTGTTCCAACCAAGACTTTCTCTGCCTTCCAAATTAATTATTAAATATTAATTTAATTTAATTATTAAATATGTCAAGAGAGCACCTAGCACCTATCTCTAGACCAAATTATTTGATATTTAATTAGTAATTAGTAGCATTAATATAGTCCAAGATAATCTAGCAATCATTTGGTTCAAACATTTCTTAAACAAAAGTTTTCAAACATTGAAACAAACTCAAATAAATCTTGGAACATACTATAAATTTAAATTAAATGAATGTACAACAAATAAAATGCAATATATAAAAAACTAACAATTGTAAATGAACGAACAAATCTAGAAAAATAAGTAACCAAATAACATAAATGAAAAACGAAAAGTTCATTTTTGGTTGCAAGGCTCTTAAAAAGTTAAGTTATGAACTATCATATTTTTAATTTCTTTTCCACAATATATTTCCAAATTGTTGGCAAGCTTTCAGTATCGCTAGTATTCAGACATTTATCCATTAACCTATTTTTGTAAATTTCTATCTTCTCCATGTTCATTGCTAAAGATGGTAAGTGTATTGGTTTGATGATGTCTGCTTCCTCCCATCTTACAATTGGGCTTTTTGCTTGTGCTATCTTTAGGACTTAAGAAGGAATATATTGGGGTCACAAAAAGAAACTTTACTGTATGCCTTTAAGAACATAAGTAAAAGATAAAAAAAATTCAATATTACACAGCATCATCTAAGATGACACAAGCTAAAGGCTGAGTCATAAGATGGAAGGAAGCAGACATCATCAAACCAATACACTCACCATCTTTAGCAATGAACATGGAGAAGATAGAAATTTACAAAAGCAGGTTAATGGATAAATATCTGAACACTAGCAATACTGAAAGCTTGCCAACAATTTGGAAATATATTGTGGAAAAGAAATTAAAAATATGATAGTTCATAACTTAACTTTTTAAGAGCCTTGCAACCAAAAATGAACTTTTCGTTTTTCATTTATGTTATTTGGTTACTTATTTTTCTAGATTTGTTTATTTATTTACAATTGTTTTTATATATTCTATTTTATTTGTTGTACATTCATTTAATTTATATTTATAGTAAGTTCCAAGATTTGTATTTGAATTCCTTCCAATATTTGAAAATTTTCATTTACGAATGTTCAATTTATAATGATCAGTTGCTTGTATTCAGTGCCTGAGGATGACTTGTAGAACAGGTTGAAAACATTTGTGAATGTTTAATAAACATTTTTCTCAGCAAATAAGGCCTTGGAGTATTAGTTGTTGTTATTATTATAAAATATTTTATGATAAATATTGTTTATTTAAAATTTTCAACTGGTAAATTTTTTCAAATTGTACCAACATTATTATTTTAAATCATTTATAATTTACTGGTAAGAACCATTTTTTTAAAAATACTTAAACGTTTTAAATACTTAACTTAATTTTTTAAATATTTTTACTTATTTGATTTTTATATCTAATGGCATTTAATAAATTGAAATGATTATACATTAAGATAATGTTTTTTAACTTCAAATATTTCAAAAAATAGTTCAAAATATTTCTGACCTTTTTATGTAAACAATGTTTAAATTTAAAATAACTGTCAGATATCACTAATAGAATCAACCTAATTGAACTATGGTGGCACTATACTAGTATTTAAAATAATAATAATCTATTCACATAGATGATAAACACTTCTAAAGAAAAATCTGTGCAGATGTAAATACTTAAAGAGTGAAACATCAAAGATATAGTTTTATATACATTAATTTAAAAATCTCCTGACTTTATTTTAATGTATATTATAATTCCAACTTATTATATTGTTTAAAATTTTTTAAACTAAAAATTTTACAAATTAAGATTTTAATGAAAAAAATTCTTACATTAAGAGCTACTTCATTATCCACAATAGATAGTTTGACAATATATGGATTTGCTGCCTATAATAAAAGATTTAAATATAATTATTATATTCTTAGCAAATTTTAAAATTTTATCAAATAAAACACTAAAATTACCACACATTATTATTAATTAATACTACTTATATTTACAAACATTTTAAAGTCAAATGCAAGATATAAAAACTCCTCAGACTCAGAACTAGATAGTGATCATGATATCTCAATAAACCTCAGTGTCAACTCAGCAGAACAAAAGCAAAGCTTGTCAAATGTTTTCAGCCTATACCAAAATCTGCCTTATGAAAATCAAATAGTTACTACTACTAAAGGATGAAGAGGCCTTGACCAGTCTTGGAAGAGAAGGATGAAGAGTTATAGCAGAAGTCTTTTTCTTCAACCTTCTCAGTTGAAGAAAAAGAAAGGATGACAGGAAAGTGTGAAGCATAAGATCTCAGAGCATCCACCAAGTGCTATTAATTAAACAAACCAGAAATACAATTAGATTAGAGTGTAGTAACATAATTACAGAATAACAACTCCTATGTTAGAGACAGTAGAGACCCTTTCTGCGCAGCCAAATGGCCACAGGCTCCAAAATTACAACTGCATATGTACAATTCCCTCTTGTAAGAGGGTATAAAAGACAAACTCCTTTCTTCGAAGGAAACAACAATAAAAGAAAGAGTATAACAAATTGAAAAAGCACATATTACAAAACACCACCGATCAGGGATGAATAAGACTTGGAAGCCTAACAACAGCAGCTTGACTACAGGCTTCCAATTACAAACATAAGAAGAAAAAAAAACCAGATTTCTTAACAAGAGCAACAGGAGGAATTGACAGAACAAGAAAACAACCTTCTGGCTTTGGAGGAGGGAACAAACAGGGCATGCACAACAAGATCTCCACAACCAGGGAGTGCAAAACATGGAACCATAAATGGCAGCAGCATAGCCACAGGCCTCTGAACAATCATATATACAATCCCTGTTGGTACAGGGGGAAGGATAATGAAACATTGGGTCCACCTTTCCTCAGTGGGAAAAAAAGAACATATGTACAAAAACCCATTAACAGCTGAAGAAAACAGGAGCCTTAGTCCAGAAACAAGCAAGCAGTGAAAAACCATGCACCAGAAAGTACAACATTTGAAGTCTCTTTAAACAACTCAATGTGCACAAACTGGTCAGTCTTTGACCTATGGTGCACCTGTTGAAAGTCTACACAGATACAAGTTCCATGATGAAGGTCTGTCGGGCCTCAGCTGTTGAGGGAGTCCTGGATATTTGGGATGACCTTGAAACTTCACCTGCAGATGTTTGCTGGATAGTTCACCTTGCTGGTAGTCCTTAGTATGTCAGTAGCTCTGATGAAAGTTTCAAGAGCCTGTAGGATCTTTTGATTGGTGAAAAAGACTTTCAACTGGCATGGTTCAGTGTGCTCGCTAAAATTCATCTTTCAGGTATGTACAGCAGAGCATCGATTATCCGACCCCCAATTAACCGTCACATCGGTTAACAGACCGTTCTAGTCGGCAAATTTCACTAGTCCACTAGTGATGTGGCACTACAATATTTGGCTATGTCTTGGCTACTTTAATATTATTTTTGTTAAATTTTTGCGTGTTTTAGCTGGCAACACCGGCTCGACCATTGAAGGGAGGCCAGTATTTAAACGAGACTTAATTTTCTAATTATGAGTACTGTAGTTGTTTGTTTTGTGAGCAGTAAAATAATTTTAAAATAATTTTTAACAATATAATAGCGACGATTATTATTTAAAAAAAAAAACTTGTTAGGCTTAACATCGATGAAAATTCAACGCAAAGTTGGTTAATAGCGATATACTAATATACAGTACTAATTACACGGGATATACTAATATACTATATACTAATAATGTATTTTTTTCATTCTTTTTGGTTATCCGATTTTTTCAGTTATCCGACTAACCTGAGTCCCCAATTGAGTCAGATAATCGATGCTCTACTGTATTTAGTGTACAAAAAAATGATATGCTTAAAACCTTGATCCTCAGCTAGGGCACAAAGGCATTTCCCATTCCCTTTGTTCAGGAAATGCTTCAGGTATGCTCTGAAGTGCCATGCCCTGTAACGATTTGAGTGGTAATGAAGTTTGGATGGTAAAAAAAACATGTTCCTCCTGTCCTGAATAATTGGAAATAATTGGAAGGCAAGTCTGCCTGTTTTTTTTGCTTCCCATCTCTGTTGCCAGAGTAGGGTCATGATGTTGTCTAGCTGGGATTTGACCAGTCTCGATGGAAGGGCATGTCAGTCTTAGTCACCTTTTTTGCGAGTGGGTCAGCTCACTCATTTCCAGTTATCCCAGCATGCCCTTTGACCCAGCTTAAGAGGATTTTTATCCCTTTTCCTCTAAGTAGCATCAGAAGGTTGATAGTTTCTTTAACTATAGTTAGCTTTGAGTGTAGTTTCTTGACTTGGGCTAGGCCATTTTGCTATCGCTGTTGATATGGATTGTTTTATTTCTGAACATCGGATTGTCTCTGATATATTGCAACATCCTCAAAATAGCAAACTTTTGGCTTGGTTGTTTGAGCATTGCATTCCTAGCTTGAAGCAGGCCTGGAAAATTGATCTTCCAAAGGTGTTATGAACAACCAATGAGCACCCAATGCCCTCAGCAGACTTTGACCCATCAGTAAACACATTGTACGTTTTGTCATTTTCTTCTGGCTGTGAGTCCAGACCATAGTTCTGGATGTCTTTTATAAGTTCCTCCATGGAAGCATGGACAATGGGAGTTTGAATGCTCTTTGCCATTTGACCTAAAAAGTTGGTATTTCCAGTATATTTTAAAAACTTTTAGGTCCAGTGGTAGAATGTTTGAAATTACTTGCAATGCATTCGTTGGACTTGTTCTATATATATAGCTTTAGCTTTCAATATTAAACTCATTCGTTAGATAGAGTTAAGACATTTCTTAATGGTTTGCTTGTTGGCAGCTTCTCTCCAGATCTCCGTCCCATAAATAACGGCCGATTCGATTGAACATTTATAGATTGTCTGGCTGGTCTTAGAATTTATTCCCCACATGCTCCGGAAGATGCAGCATAGGGAGTGGGCCATTGTAACTGCCTTGTTGCGGATGTGGCTGACATGTGATTTCCATGTTAAAATCTCATCAATCTTCAGTCCTAAGTATTTGATGTCAGAGTTAGTTTAATCCTATGCCCAGATAGTTCAATTGCTGGTTTCTTATTAAGTGGGTAATGCCATGGGGAAAAGTATACTTGCACATTTAGCTGGGGTGATTATCAGTTTTTTCTTTTCTACCCAGAGGTTTACCTTTTTTAGAAGTTTGTTCATTTGAACCTGTAAGACTTCTTGGTTTTTATGTGTCATCAGAATCATCATATCATCAGCAAATCCTAATATATCGATAGTGGTGTCTGCTAAGGAGATTTCTTGGAGTTTGAAAATATCATTATATTGTGCAAGTCACAGAACTGGCCAGACCTAGAACCCTGAGAGCACCCTCTGTCTATATCTCTCATGATAATATTAGAGCCGAGCATTATACTTGCCTTTCTTTCCATGGGGAAACTTTTGTAGAGCCTGTAAATGTTTTTAGAGCAATTTCTGTCTCTTAGTACCAAGAGGACAGCCAGCCACCATGCATAGTCAAATGCCCTTTGAAAATTAATCGATACTGCCAGTGTATGTCTGTTGTTTTGTTTTCACTCCTTATCGCCTAGATCATCTGGTTTAGTGCCGTAATCGTACTCTTGTCTTTATGGAATCCAGCATGAATTCCATAAAGACAAAAGTACAATTATGGCACTACATCAGATGATTTAGGTTGGTTGGTGTAGAGAAAATTTGTCTTTTCCATTTTAAATTCAAACAGTTAGAAAATGGAATGCTTGGAACACACATTTTGATAGTAAGGATTTAGCTGTTTAAATGCAATTACATCATCCAAATTATGAGTACTAGGCTTCTCCTGTTTATAATTGATGCAATTTCCTTTCATGGTAGCCTTAAAATTTTTTAGAGCTTCCATATACTTAATGTGCTGTGTTCATATGTTCAGCCTTAAAAAAAGTGATTTGTTGAAACATGGGAACAATATCTTCATTTGAGGCATATACCAATAGGTGGTTTTGTTGTTTTCTAATGTTATACCTGTGTTCTTTGACCCGTTTCAAAAATGACCTTTTAGTTGAACCAACATACATTAAATCCCACCTGTTATCATGAAATCCCCAGGATCTCTCTATATTAATGGGTTCTTTCACATTTTTTAGTAGTGAGGAAATAGTTGGAGAGCATATGTATACAATCTGAAAGACCTTGAAGTTGGTTACTGTTTAAAAATAGCAGATAATAAGTCTTAGTCATAACTAATGTGTTTTGCATTGTTCTGTTCCATCTTATATAACTTTGGTCACATGGCACTGTAATTTGCACCTTGATCTTGAGATCAATAGCCTTAATCAGGAAGGTGAAAAATCCATGGATGCATGCTATGTTTAGAATATTGACTAATTTTTATATCTTCTGTGTTCTCTTGGAGGTGCAATGAGTGTATGCACCCCTGATGAAGGTCCCATAAGCATCTACTTTGTAATAGAAGGAATATGAGAGCTGGCAGGATGTGCAGAGTGAAAGTTATGTAAGCAGGAACAGAATGGGTGCATATACTCTTGGAATCAAACTGATCTAAGATTACTCTGATCATTCAAATTGTGTATATAAACTATAGCAATCTGATCAATCTCTAACTATGTATACAAATGCCATCTAGGACCAACTGGATTATGATCAAAGTAATCCAAGCAGAAGGTAGGATTGTTTGATTCAGATAAAGATTAAAGATGGCAACCTCCATGTTAAAGTCAAGCTTATAATTGACAGCAAAGAAATATATTTAACTATCAACAATGAAAAGTATTTAAAACTTATAAATGGGAAATAAAAACATCATTATTAAAATATCTGATAAACTTAGATGAAAAAGTAAGTATTAAGAAACAATTTTGTGTGATTGTACGATAAGAATTCATGACATAATCTCTCCCATTTTGCCATTTTGAAAGAAATTTTATTCAGAGTAAATACTATTCAATCCTACTTGTATACTTTCCACCAACTAACACTCATGATAGAAACAATCTGTATCACATGACAAAGACTAATCTTATCTAACAGAACAATCTAACTGAAATGAGAAGTAAATGCAGTCCAGAATGCAAGACATGTTAGTTGTGATTTATGACTGATCCTTATCTATTGTTTTTTGATAAGACTCTTAAATTATTTTCTCACTACTAAAAAATGAAAAAGATCCCATTAAAATCTCTGAAAATCTACTGAAAATCTCTGGGATTTATGGAATTCCCCTACATGATAACAGGTCAAATAGAGACTTAATATACATAGGCTCAACTATAAGGTCATTATTGAAACAGATCAAAGAACACAGATATGACAGAAAACTTGTAATTTGGATGACCTGATTGTTCTGTCCATCCAACCAAATCTGAAATGCATGTTCCAAGTATTTCATTTTCAAACTCTGATTTCCTAAAGAAGATCTTCAGTGTAGACTAAAAACATTTGAAGAGCTTTGCTTCTGTTCTGCCAAGTTGATGGTGAGATTTATTGAGACATCATGTCAAATATAAGTTAGATACCTAAACATTAAAAATGCATGAAATCATGTAACAGTTTTTTATGAAAGTAATTAAAATTATTTTGATAAAAAAAATTTTGTTTATATTAAATTTTTTCAAGTTTTCTAAATTCTACATAAAAAATTCAAGTTTATGATAAAAAAATCTCTATATGAAAAAGTTTAAAATTCTGAAGACAATTCAGCAAAATTTTAAATTAGTATGTTACAATTAAATTTGCCTCAAACACTCAAGGCCATATAGAGAAGCCTCACACAATTTCCTTCATCTGGTTTTTGATGAAGTCTAGCTACTCATTCCCATTTGACTATTTTAATTGGATGAAAAACATTTTGAACTACTTTTGATAAGCTCTTACTTCAATAAGCTTCTTATTTCAATATACAGCTTTGTGATTTAAACTGTGCTGCTACCTTTCATAGGAGCTGAGATAGGATTTGGCCCTATGAGAAGGGTCAAATCCTATGGTGATTACACCATCAAATAGTCATTTCTGATTATCTATATTCTTGTGAACTTATATATAGCTAACATTTAGCAAAAGATATAACCTGGTGCAATGTTTTTGCTACACTCTGAATAAATATGAATCTAAACTTCTGTATCAAAAAATTGTTCTTTAAAATTCAAGCAAATAAGAATTATGTAACTAATGAAGAAAACTTATTATATACAGGAGACTATTGCAAGTACAGACAGTTCCACCAATGGACAATTTAAATTTTTTAACTACATCTCATCAAGAGACTACCTGTTGTTAAACAAAGTTTATTACATCATCCTCTTATAAAAAAGTGTTCTTTTAATACATTAAAGTTTATTGATCAATTAATTCATTCATATTTATCTCTCTTATTGAGATATTTTTATATTTAATTGTATTAAATGTAACGCCATTAAACAAAATTAATTTTTCAATTATTCTTTAATTTTCAAAAATTAATACTTTTCTTTATTTTTCAAAATAAAGAAATTTTTAAAATAACTTTTGCAAAGTGATTATCATATTTAATTAAATATTCTTAATATGGATATTTAATTAAAACTTTAATTCATTAAAAGCACTTTGTTAAGCTTAAATTAAATTATTTGATATGTTAATTAATTTGTTTATATTAATATAAACTATCTTTAAATACTGGATGTATTTAGTATCAAAACTCCAAACAACACTTAATCTTTATATTCCATCTTTAGAACTTGATGATAGCCTTTGAATAAGGTTTAAAACACTAGTTTGTCATTAAATTTGTGTTGTTTACCAGATTAAGGTATTGTTTGGAGTTTTGTTTATATTATTTATGTTATAATATTATAATTTTAAAAAAATAATGATTGTTACATACTTCATATTTTCTGTAATTAACAAGAATAGTGAGAAGTAATACTGCTTCATAACCATGATAAAGTCTAGATTGAGAGTCAGCTAAAATCTAAAATGTTAATAATAAAAATGCTTCCATTACACAAATATTTATTTAAATTAAAATATTTTTTACACAGTATATTGTAATCTTACCTGTATTATTGCTTCAAAAACACTATTCATCATTAAATATTCCAAAATCGTGTTTTGACTAACATTTTCTGTTGCCTTGTATAAAAGAAATTCTATTTATAAAAGGGATTAAAATAAACAAACATCTGCTATAATTAACATACACTAAAAAAATTAACAACACTTTTGAGTCAATAATAAATATTAAACTTCATTACTTTGGAATTTTTACTTATTTATTTTCATTTTAAAAAATTTATTACTGTCTGTGTACTCAAATATGACTGTTCTAGAATAATTACATTTCATTAATTTTATTTTCTTTTGAAACATTTGCATTTGAGAAATTTTGATTTTATGTAATTTCAATTTTCATTGTTTGTTTTTGATATTCCTAATGAAGACTATTGACTGAAAAACATTCAGATTAACTGTTATTACGATTTCTTTATAAAATATTTTTAAGAAAAATAATATAATCCTTTTATACTGAATTTTAATACTTGTAATCAAAAATGACATACCTTTGCAGTAATCTAGCAGGTAGTGATTTTTTTTTATTAGAATTAATATTTTCAATCTAATTTATTCAATCTTTATCTCAATTATATTTTCATACCTCCATTTCTTCATGATTAAATCTGATAATGGCATATAAATTTGGCTTAAAATGTTATTTCTGATAACATCAAAAAATACTATATGCTAGATTATTACAAAAATATGTTTTTTCAATTACTACTTGAATATTTATTATAAATATCAATTGACTTCAGATATTTAATATTACACTTAGTAATACACAATTGTAAATTATATAGCAATCCACACAAAATGTAGTATTTATAAATTATGTTTACACTGCCTCATCAATGTAAAAACAAGCAAAATAGTAATAGCAGAAGCAAAGAACTAAAAGTTTTATACAGACATGCATGTCATTATTTTAAAATCTAATAAAAACTTGATTTACTTACCGTCACCAAAATTAATAAGAAATTTAAAACAAGAGATTTTAAACTATGAGAATGCTCTCCAGTTAAAAAGCTTGAAAGATGATCTGTAAGAATCTAAAAACAGTTAAAACATTTAAATCATGAATTTTTCAAAACCAAATTTATTAATAATTAAGTATTAAAATATTTATTTTCATACATACCTGCATTTGATGTTCAGCAACATCAAAACCAATTAAAATATTTATCACATCAAATCCAAAATTTTCAAGTGATTTCCTGAAAACTCCTCTAACAAGAGCACATAGCATCTATAAAAAAGCACAACATTTAATAATTCATTCAATTTTTTATTCTATATTAATTATTTTAAACCTTCTGTATTAAACTTACTTGTAATGCATTTAAAACTCTTATCTGATGATCGGCTTTTAGTGCTTTAACACAATGATAGAATAAATTATTTATTATCTCCTGTTTAAAAAAATATATTTATTAGAAAAATTTCTAATTTAAAAAATATAACAACATAATAATAAAAAATTATAAAACAACATTAAAATTTAAAATTGTATTTTCAACTCTCCAAATGATTTACAATATTATATTACAGACAATACAAATTGTCTGCAAATACAACATAATAAGTTATCTCATGAAACATTTCTACAAATCTAAAGACATCAATATCAAATAATCTGACTGAAAACTGGGAAAATAAAGAAATGACTAGAGAAAACTTATTCCCTCTTGTTGCATTTTTACCTACTCATAATACCTGTATCACAATATTCAGCTTTTATAATTATAATGAATACTGATGCTCAGCTATAAAAATTTATTCTTAATTGGTAAATATTATAAAATGATATCACTTCTAGTTACCACATTAAATAAATTAATTTTGACAGTAAACAGTACTTGATAAACCAAGAAAAGTCCAAACAAGAAAGTAACATATTTGCTTCTTTATTAAATCAAACATACATGTTTTGTGTTGATATAAATAAAATAAATAAATAAATAATGTAATTATAATCATAACTTCAAATGTTTTAGAATCCAGATTAAGATTCTGCCATATGATTAACCAAGCTAATGAAATTTGACCATCATTATGCTATCTATGAGAACTTTATTGACAAATTAATTAAATACACAGTTACCATATTCAGAAAAGACATTTAAAATAAATAATATAACAGCTGTATGAAATAAATGCTCAGACTGTTACTCACTAGAATTAAAGAAATTCAAAGCAGATATTGCACAGACAAAATCTGCTACAGAACCAGCTTCTTTGCAATCAATACAAAACAACACTGTATTATGGGACCAGAAAAAACTGGTTAAGGAAATTAAAGATCAAAAATTAGCAAATACAATGGATTTAGTAGAAATTCATAAATAAATGACTAAAAGAGAATGTATCAATTGTTGAGAGCAAGACATACCTGAATGTATGAAAATCACTATATGAATATAAATCTTCATAATTTTCTTTTATAATTTTGTTCAACATTTACATACACATTTCTAGTAATTATTTTTGCACCTATGTTGCAATATGCACTTACAATTTTTAAATGGCATTCTAACACACAATTTTTTATTTTTAAATTTTGATGATAAAATTCCATTACAAATTCTATTGAAATTACTTAAAGCAATGAATGATGTGCAACTTTTTCTGGAGGTGGGCCACAAGTGAACTTTGTAGACTTCCAGCAAGCTAAATGCATTTTTTTCTTAGAGTTGCAGGCTTGTTCCTTTTTGTTTATTGAGTTGGTACTCAGCAGGCCTAAAAGCCTGTTGACTACCAATATACAGTAAGACCCCACTTAACGCGGGGGATGTGTTCCTAGACAACAAAGCACTAAATGAAACACCGTTAAATAAAGTCATTTTAACGAGAGTAAATAGAGATAGGGAAACATGTAAGACCAAAAATAAATAAATTTTACTTTAATTTTAAGTTATTTTTATATTATTTGTATAATAATATATATAATAACAAAAACAAATACACTGAGTTCAGCGTTACATGCATTTTTCTTTATCGCTAGCACTTTCAACGAACTTATTGTCGTCGTCCTCAGGCGAATACAGATGTTTACCAAAAAGCTTTTAAACAAAAATAATCGAATGCAGAATAGAACGCATATACAAGGTCTGTTCAAAAAGTATCGGACCTTATTTTTTTCCGCGTAAACCAATGATGGGAGAGAGACCTCCTTCGGTGGAGTTGTGGAGGGGACAGTCATGCACAGCCCTGAATTTTTTCCCGCCTGCAGAAAGCGTCAGTCGTTGGCAATCGGCATATGAGTGAGGTCATGTAGTGCGCTCTCGTCGGATTTCACTAAGCTGGAAAATGACTGAACAACGTGAGCAGCGATATTACATCAAATTTTGCCAAAAACCTTGGCGATACCCGAGTGTAAACCATTCGCAAGATTCAGCAGGCTTTCGGGGACGATCCTCGAGGCCAAAAAAAGCGCGGCAGGTCCGCAGCAATATCAAAGGTCATGTTGACAGTTTTTTCGACTCTCGTGGGGTGGTGTGTCGTGAGTACGCACCACAAGGCCAAACCATCGCAAAGGAGTACTACCAGGAGGTCCTTCGTCGTCTTTCCGATACAGTGCGATGCAAACGATGGGATCTGTGGTCGATCAAAACTTGGCAGCTCCATCGTGATAACGCATCCGCCCATTCTGCGCATCTGATTCGGGCTTTCGTCGCCAAACACAATACTCCTGTGGTTCGTCACGCTCCGTACTCTCTCCACATGGCTCCGTGTGACCTTTGGCTATTTCTCAAGCTGAAAATGCCGCTAAAAGGAACCCAAATTTAGTTGAGAGAAGACATCGTGCGAAATGCGACGGACCGGCTGATAACCATTCCAAAAGATGCGTTCCAGCAGTGTTTCCAGCAATGGCAGAAATGCTGGGAGAAGTGTATACATTACCAAGGAGACTACTTTGAAGGGAATTAGGGTTTTGTTCCTCAAAGTCAATAAATTTATTTTTGCCGACCAAAGGTCCGATACTTTTTGAACAGACCTTGTATGTTAAATAACACAAACATATGCACACAGAAATGTAAGGTTCATTTTTTGTGATAAAGGTCCTGACTTTTCTGAATTCTTGTTCTTTTGCAATAAAGTCGTAAAGTTTCATTTGTTGCATTTTTCTTTCCTTAAGCAAATGTTGGTAGCAGAAGATTGCATCTAAAACGCCTCATTTTGCTTTTACACTCCTTTCAAAATCTGGATCATTTGCTACAATTTGATCAATGAATTTGGTTATCTTACCAAACTTTTACTAAGGAAATCTGTAGAGAAATTTTTTGGGTTCTTCGTTTTCAGAATCTCTATTTTCCAGTTCCACATGAATTCCATGCTCTGCCAGTTCTTGAAGGTTGTCATTGGTAAGGCTCTCACCAGAAACCTGCTGTAACTCCTGAATATCCTGCTCGGCTATATCTCCTGTTATATCAATTAGGTTGAGTTCGGCCAACCTAACGATACAGCGATAGGCTCTTCTCATTGAGAATTCTTGAATACCTTTGGCCATAACTTCTTCCACACTTTGTTCGTGCATCTATCAGTTAATTCTTGCCAAGCGAAGTTGATATTTTTTATGGCATTCATCATGTTATATTTTTTCCAAAATTGCACCAAACAAACCTAAATTTAAAAAAAGTACTCCTTTTTGTCACCTTTTGCTGATTGGTTTGTGTTCACAAATAATCATATTATACATGAATCAATGAAATGCTGCGATAATTTAAATCAAGGTAAATTTTGAGCTCTTTTTAGGCTTTGAGCAGACCATATTACATCAAATCAGCATTAAGCAAGACAGCGTTAAGTAGGGTCTTACTGTATTTGATAATTTCCATTACACTAGCTACTAAAATAATATATATTAACTAATAATGTATAGTTTATTCTCATCTTTTTACTGGTCAAATTTAATTTGAATGTTCTTCATCATGAATATGAGCTTAATTAAGATTGCATAATAGCATAAGGCAGAAAACATGAAAATAAAATTACATTGATGAAGCCTCAGTCCTCAAATTTGATTTTCAGAGCAAGTTGCTCATGATTGACTTAAAAAAAAATATTCTGAATGATTTTTTTTAATATTTTAACTATTTTTACTCCATATTAATATGTAAGAACTTAATGATAACCTTTTAAAAACGCTAAAAGAACTTTTTAACTTCAAAATTTAGTGCTGATTTGTCAAGGTTTGTACTTATATCTTTACATTATAAGTACATTTAAAAATTAAACATATATCATTCAATGATTTGTTACTAATAAAAAAATAAACAAGTATATTTTTAATTATAGATAATCATATAATAATATCTTTAATGTGAAAACAATTGATTTTGATATTATATAACTATTGAACTATTAGAAATAATATAAAAATCATAAGTCAAAATACAGTGATACCCCGAACTTACGCGATAGGTGGGACCAAGCGATAACCGCGTAAGTCGAATTCGCGTAAGTCGGGGTATAATTTCACAATTTGTGTAAAATTGAAGTCGGATGTATGTAAGCTAATAAATGTTCTCGTTAATCTTATTTCTTCTTTTGACTCGTTCACAGTTACAAGAAATCACCACATAGAGTCTCTGAAGGCTCCGTAGATATAACAAACACAGAAATAAATAACACAAAATAAATTGTAGCTATGTGTCGATTCCGCACGACAGGTAAGCTGAAGAAAAGTGTGGGGGGAGTGAGTAATCGAGAGTTGCGTGGCGGTCAAACAAAAGACGAATCGACGAGATTTGAAAATCGCGTAACTCCGGGTTCGCGTAAGTCGAGGTATTACTGTAATTATTACTATTTTTATTATTATATAAACATAATTAAATTTTATAATCTGAGCTAGTAATAAAAAAAATTATTTTTTTTTATTGTTAGCTTAGGTTAAATGTATAAAATAAAATTTTATCACCTTTCTCTGTAGCAATTCTTCATTAGAGAGTTTTTCAAATTCATTTTCCAAATAATTAACATTTGTCTAAAATTTTAAAAGAAATGTATACTGTATAATTTCATATTGTATCCATCTTATAAAAATAATCTGTACATTTATGATTCAATATATATAATACATATTATAAAATGTACTAAACATTAAATTATTTATAGTTTTTGAATAAATACCTTTTTTTTAAATTATCCTTAACAATAATATAAAAACATATTATTATTCAATCATACTATTAAAAATATCAAACCAGAAATTTGTTGTAAAGATGTATGTAAACTATATACAAATGAATCATTTTGAGCAAAATCAATAATAAACATTACAAATTATTACTAATTTTAGCTAAACCAGGGCATTTTCTTTTTACAGAGGATTGTCATCATCTGAGCTGTTTGTTAATTTTGATCAGAAATATCAGCAACATCTTCATTTTTTTATTTTTATCATAATTTTTTTTGGATGACAAAATAAATATGTTATTAATCAAAAATTTGTTCTAGAGAGTCATATTTGTTCAATCGAGTACTGAGCAATTTTATTTTCCAGAATTTGTGTTCGAATACCAAATTTTTTTAAGTTAAAACTGTTCGAGTACTGAATCTTCATATTTCATACAACATTTTTACAAATGAAGAATCATTCATAGGTAATACCTATGGTTAAAAAAGTTTAATAACATTTACCTAAAAATGTTTAAATAAACTTTACTAAATATGAAGATTAATCTATAAAAACAAAACACAGTGAGGATCTTAAAGGCTAGTCTGAAAATGACAAACAATACCTGGTTGATAGGAAAGCTAGAACAAGAAAGAAAAAATTGCACTATCAGTTTTCATTAAAGTAATCCTGATGAAAGGCATAAAACAAATTAAAAATTTCAATATTATAAAATCCGTGGGCAAATTTGAGATAACATGCATGCTTACTTGAATTAAAAAAAATAATTGAATAACAAAGTTTATACTTAAAAATTGTTAAATTTTGTATGGAGGATTTCCAAAATCATGTTAGAGTGAAACTGGAAACAGTGTTGTATGGGAATTTCTTCAATTTTCTAACAGAGTTAGAGTGAAACTATATTGTAGAAGTGTCACGAGGGATAACTCTATATTAAATATTTCATTTTTTTTATTTAATAAAATATGCCAGGACATAAGTATAAACTTAAAAAAATTCACAAAATGAACTTTTCACTGGATGAACTGTATGTTTCCTCTTTCATTGTCCCTTCGAACACCAATCAGCAAATAACAATTTCACAGAAGGGACAATGAAAGAGGACACTTACACAGTTCATCCAGTAAAAAATTCATTTTGTGAAATTTTTAAATTCATTTTTTAATTCCAAGCAGAAAAGCAAAAAGAGATTTAATATAATATCTTTACTAAAAAAATTCAATAACTAATGATAGAGAAATAAATATTTGCATTATTATTAAAAATTATCAACTCTCAATATTTTTTCAATTTGAACAGGCCCAATCAACATTACGGTTATTAGTATAATAAAAAATGGGAAATAATGTATCAATCTATCATTGAAAAATATCAAAAGTCCAAATCCAACAAAGCAACATCACTGTATTTAAATGTTTTCGAACATGTATTCATTGGATGTTTAAGTTTAAATCTGAAAAAATATCTGTAAACTAGTTTGAAAACATTAGCTTAGCAAAAATAGTTTTGTGCTGGATATTAAAGAGATTGTGTGATTCATTCTACAAAATTCCTTAAATACACTATGTTGGTAATTTTTTAATAAAATATCAGAAACTTCAATTTTAAATTTATATGATAACAAATAAATACTTTATAATACTGCTATACAAATTTATACTAAATATGAATCACACTATATATAAAAGTAAAAAAGAAATAATATGTCATAACTCTAAGCAAGCAAACTAAAATTAAAATAAATAACTTGTTTTAATATAGGACATGTACAGTATTTTCATTTTTACATTTAATGTATATCAAAAAGATATATTAAAATAGTCATAAAATATAATAAAAATTCACAAATAAATTTATTTATTATGAATTTTTAGTAATCATAGCATCTTGTTCCTCAAAGTTGACTATGTCCGAGTATTTCAACTCAAGGAAGAAATTTTTATATTTTTTACAGGGTTCCTACTCAAACTTTTGTTTTAAATTCCATGACTTTCCTTGACCAACTTTGTACAAATTCTATGAACCTCACATCCCTTACAGTATGGCACATTGACAAAATAAAACAGCATTTAGCTTACTATGCACATATTCTATTGCTTCTCCAAGTTTTTAATTAGTTATTTTTTCTAATTAACAGTTATATATTTTTTATAATTGTCAAATTATTAAAACTAAAAATAAAATGTTTTATTAAATTATAGTAGTTTATTCTGTAATTAATCCACAACCATAAATCTACATAGCTTTGAAAAAAAAAGAAAAAAGCAATTATTTATATTTCATTCATTAACAAATCCTGTATAATCCATGTACAAAAGTATATATTTATTAAATTTCTCTTAATAAATCTCGTGAACTTTATAAAATATCAGAAATTGTTTTGTTACACAAACAATATTATTAAAATGAAAAATGATAAATAATACCATTTAAATTTAAATTATTTATTATTTTTTTTGTACTTGGTAAATTTTTTGGGAAATTTTGTGTATGCTTGGGAGAAATTTTGAATCTTGAAAATATACTGCATCCCTTTTCATAAGTTGTATTGCACCACATTACTTCTTTCTGCCTGCAGATGGCCACACTTAGTCAATTATATTGTCAGCAAAAAAAATAAGACAGCTAAGGAGTCAAATTCCCTGACTTTCCATGACTTTTTCAGAACATTAATGAAAATTCCTGACTTTCCTTGATTTTTCCTGATTTTCTGGGTGCATAGAAATCCTGTTTATATATTTATATATTTTTTTCTTTAATTTTTCTTCTATATCAAATTTTATATAGAAAATAACCAACTTCATTTGAAAATTTTAAATTAACAATAAATCATGTTGAAAATTTTATGCAATTATTAAATGTAAGTTTCCTTCCAGTGTCTACATTATCCAAATAATTATTTGTTTAAATGATTTTATCACAAAAATCAATGGAAATTTCATTTCAAAAGCATTAAAAATAATATTTATTTATTGTTGGAGATAGCTTGAAAGAACAAATCAAAAAAAAGTTGCCACTATTATAACCGTATGTAATATCTGCCATCTAGGTATAATTGTGTTCATTATAACTTTATGTATATTTTTAGCCATAACTTAAATTTTGTAATGCTTTTATAACCAGGTTGATGTAAAATAAATAGAGCCAATGGGGAAAATATTGCCTAAAATGCATATCCTCTAAAATTAATAAAGCCTATATTTCTGTCTTTGTTGTGTATTCCTATGTAATTCATTCTCTCAAGTAATCTTATATTACTCCTAACAATTAAAATGAGAACAAGAAACAATTGAGTATTAAATTTATTTATTTTTTTATAAATTTTGTTTTAATTAAAATCTAATATATCAATAATATTCCAATGATGATAAAAATTTAGAAATACTTACTCTTAATAAAAAAAATTCATCCCAAAAGTTTGGATTTTCTTTTGATGGATCTTCATTCTATATTTTACAAATTAACATTTGACTCAAATTAATAATAATGTAATATTTTAAAAATAAATTTAAAAAATTTTTTAATCCATTTTATTTATATACAGTAGAGCATCGATTATCCGACTCAATTGGGGACTGGGGTTGATCGGATAACTGAAAAAACAGATAACCGAAAAATATGAAAAAATACATTATTAGTATAGTATATTAGTATATCCCATGTAATTAGTATATTAGTATATCGCTATTAACCAACTTTGCGTTGAATTTTCATCAATGTTAAGCATAACAAAAATTTTTTAAAATAATAATCGTCGTTATTGTATCATTAAAAATTAGAAAGTTAAGCCTCATTTAAATCCTGGCCCCCTTTCATGGTCGAGCCAGTGTTGCCAGCTAAAACACGTAAATATAATGTTAAAGTAGCCAAGACATAGCCAAATATTGTAGCGCCACATCACTAGCGGACATTTGAATTTGCCGACTAGAACGGTCGGTTAACCGATGTGACGGTTGATTGAGGGTGGTCGGATAATCGATGCTCTACTGTAATTACATAAACATTAAACAAAATAAAAAAAAATAAAAAAAAAACACAAAGTGATTACAATTTATAAGGTCTGATTTTGATTGATTTTAAAATACAATCTTACAATGCAATAGAATAATAAGTAAAAAAAATGTAAAAATTAAAATTAAATTTTGACTGATGGAATGTATTTTGATAAATAAAATATAAATATAAAATATGTCAAAGCTACAAAATTGTCTTTGTGTTCTGTTTAACAATAGAACACATTAACATTAATAGGGTTCTGACATAAAATTATGTTAAGAACTGTTTTATGGATATTTTATGTCTATATTGATATATTCATTTATAAAAATTTGTTACAGAAAGTTACTGTAAACCTGCCAAAGAAGAACCATCAGTACAACACAAAAACACAAGTACACAAAACAAAAACAGAGTGTACACGTGAAAATAAAGATATTTTGTTTTGATTTTTCTGACTGAGTTCTCTATTTGCTATAGGAAACTACACTAGTGTAATAAGTCCTATTAATACACAAAGTCCAAAGTAGACAAGGATAAAAACAGAAATCAATAAAAGTACATAGAGGTAAAAAAAGAATGAACATGAAGACAATTTTGTAGCTTCAATATACTTTTTTTATTTATAATTTGATGTAAAAATTAAAATTAACTCATTTGATATGGTTTGCAAAGTTTAACAAACTGGTTAAGAATTTGGTCTTTAGGTATAGTAACAAAAAAAATTGATGAATAGCACTTGTGTATTCTACAAATTTCTATTATACATACCTCACACAATATGCCAACATTTCACTGTAATGGTTTTAATATTCTTATTATCAACAGTACATCTTTGTTTAAATTGTAAAAGAAAAACTTCTTCCAGTTTTTAAAAAACTGTATTAATTACATGTCTTTAAGAACAAAATACCCCAATGGCATGCATTAACCTAGTGTTTCTCAAACTTCACTTTCTGGTAGACCTGGTTAATAAATTTTAATGTGCCATTTATCTAATTTGCATAGTTTCCTATCAATATATTTGCCTAGACCACAGGGATCTGTGGATCACACATTGTCAAGAAAATCTGCTATTCGAACTACCTCTATCACCTGGACAAGAAAATTTCTACTATTTGGCACCACACAATGTGCAAAATNGGGAAATATTTTAATAAGTTTTGTAAATTACTATGTTCAATCCAGCCAGTTATATCTGATTTTTTTTCGTCTGTTAAGTACATCCTTTGAGGATTTCCGTAACATGTATAACAGCCTTTACATAGAAAAAGGTTGCCTGTCCCTGATCTAGAAAGTCAAGAGCTTCTATTTCTTCATTTTCAGTTGTTTACTTTCTATCATTTCTAATTGTTTACTTGAATTCAATTGTTCACTCAATTACTTGAATGAATAATTTTAATATTTACAGATTCATGAATAATAAAAGTTAATTTTTTTCATGATTTTTCTGTTTTATGGATGCTGTATATTGAATCTTGTGTATGAACGTCTCTTTAATCCAAACTTTTGTTTGGTAGACTATCTCACAGCATCATGGTTAAAAACATCTTTATTTTTTTTAAAAATTGGATTACATTGCAAATGCATTTTGGGTTTGTTTATATTTCAAACCCTTCTTCAGTGCATAAGAAAACATAAAAAATCTTTCACAATAACATTTGTGAACATACATATAAAAAGGTTTTTCTTCAATTTTATCCATACACCTAAAATGGGTAGGTACTGGTTTACTTTAGTGAAATGCTATGTATTTTAATATAATATGACATAACAGCTTGTTTCCTTATCCATTTGAATAAGAAAAAACAAAATAAGTGTTAAATAGAAACCAAGTCCAAATCATATTATTAATCAAATCAAGCCAGATTTATTATCCATTTACTATATTTAATTAGCCAAAATATAGCTGATAATAAATCCAGCTTGATTATTTGATTAGGAGAGTAATATTTTATGAAAGAAGATTTAATCCTATCTTCAGTTATTTATGAAACAGTATTTGTTTTTTTAGTAGAGATAATTTATAAATTGCTTACTTCTAATATTAAAGAACTTTTTGGTTCATTGTTAGTTTACATAATTAATGGACATTTTTCAAAACATTTTAATTTAGAAAATAATGAAAACTATTCACAAAGTCACCCAAAATCTAGCAATTAAACAGTTGCACGAATGTTTTTATTTACCTGCAAGTAGACATCTTCAGTTGGAATAATACAATTCTATGAGAAAATTCTTCATTTAGAATTGCACCTGAAGATGTCTACTTAAAGGTTGATGAAAACATTCATGCAACTGTTTAATTGTTGGATTTTGAGTGACTTTGTGAGTAGTTTTTGTTTGTATATCGAGTATTGTGTTGTTTTTAGAAAATAAATTATTATTATAGGAATAATTAAAGTATCAAATTTAATTTTTGTATCTTTGATAAGAGTTTAATTAATCTTGATTATTTTCATATTTTCCAGGTAATATTGTGTTTTATAATGATTCTAATAATTTAAAATCAAATAATTTTCAAAATGGGTAGACATGGAAGTACTAAGAAACCACTAAAAGAAAAAGTTGTACAGATTTATGAAGCATTTTTTAAGGCAAGTATTTATTTATTGTATTTATAATAGTAATTATATACAGCAAAGAAAAATGATCTTAAAAAGAAAACTGTATTCAGGAACATTCATTAAATTTTGATGGTATTTTATATTAGTGTCATAAAATTAAATAATGAAATCACTATATTCACCGAGGCTTATTTACTAACTTGTTTTTGACCATATTAAATTATCTTTATCAGACTTTAAATAGAAGGAACTTACAAGTGTCAAAATAACATGTAAATGGAAGAATAATTTTTACAAATTCAGTATTCGGAACAACATAGTATTAAAATGTAAGGTTGAAAAATTTAAACAAAAATTTCAAATTAAATTGAAAAACATTTATATGCATATTATGAGTAAGTCCTGTTACAAGGAGAGTACTATTAAAAAATAGTTAACATATAAATATTGAATATAATTAAACTTTTGAATTCATCATAAATCAAATATAACTATATCTAACATTAACTGTATCTGATGTTTCTTACTTTTATTTTAAAATTGTATAACTTTTTATACAATTTTAAAATAAAAACAGAGCTTCCTTGTGAAATTAATTGATATAGTTTCTCCTTTGAGTTGCAGTCTTTGAGAAAGGATAAGTTACTGTACTCTCTAATGGCCTCAAGTTCTCTGCACTCACAAAGTAAGGGAAAGATGGAAATTGGCTTATAATCTGTACATTTATCATTTGTTATCTTGAAAAAATTTAAATCAAATAAAAACTGTTTAGTCTTAGTTGCGTGTAAAATCTTTTTACTTTAAAAGGTATTTGTGAATAAATGTAGCCATTTGAAAGCAGAAAAGTTAAATTAAATGAATACCAGCTATGAAATGTTCTTTTTTGTATACATTGTTTTTCATAGTTAATTAAATTAGTATACAATTATATATCAGACAATAAGAAAGATTGACCAAATTTCCAATCTTGTTCAGAACTATTAAACACAACATGGAAACGCTGTAGTTCACTAACATGTGACTAAATTTACATACATTTACATAAATTTACATAAATTTACAATTATTGATATGTGTATTTTTCTGGTTAGATGTTGTTTAAGCTCATTCAAAATAATAACTAATTTATTTTTATTTTCATTCATTCTCTTGAAGAATTTCAGAAATCTCTATCAACTGTAATTGATTTACATTGTGATGTATGATATAATCTGGAATTAACTTATCCAGATAAAATAATTTTCTTACAAATTTTTTTCTGTATAGTTTCCAAATGACTTATCCAATCAAAACTCTAAATTGGGAGTGAGTAGTAAATAGAGTTTATAATTATTGAGGAAAACAGCTTAAAATGATTCTGAATTGTGTTGATCTTCATTTTGCTCATTAAATGGATCAAACAAATATGCGTACTTCTAAACCAATATCCGGCGTGAAAACTCCAAACTTTGTTTGGAGTTTTCACGCCGGATATTGGTTAAGAAGTAAGCATATTTGTTTGATCCATTTAATGAGCAAAATGAAGATCAACACAATTCAGAATCATTTTAAGCTGTTTTCCTCAATAATTATAAACTCTATTTACTACTCACTCCCAATTTAGAGTTTTGATTGGATAAGTCATTTGGAAACTATACAGAAAAAAATTTGTAAGAAAATTATTTTATCTGGATAAGTTAATTCCAGATTATATCATACATCACAATGTAAATCAATTACAGTTGATAGAGATTTCTGAAATTCTTCAAGAGAATGAATGAAAATAAAAATAAATTAGTTATTATTTTGAATGAGCTTAAACAACATCTAACCAGAAAAATACACATATCAATAATTGTAAATTTATGTAAATTTATGTAAATGTATGTAAATTTAGTCACATGTTAGTGAACTACAGCGTTTCCATGTTGTGTTTAATAGTTCTGAACAAGATTGGAAATTTGGTCAATCTTTCTTATTGTCTGATATATAATTGTATACTAATTTAATTAACTATGAAAAACAATGTATACAAAAAAGAACATTTCATAGCTGGTATTCATTTAATTTAACTTTTCTGCTTTCAAATGGCTACATTTATTCACAAATACCTTTTAAAGTAAAAAGATTTTACACGCAACTAAGACTAAACAGTTTTTATTTGATTTAAATTTTTTCAAGATAACAAATGATAAATGTACAGATTATAAGCCAATTTCCATCTTTCCCTTACTTTGTGAGTGCAGAGAACTTGAGGCCATTAGAGAGTACAGTAACTTATCCTTTCTCAAAGACTGCAACTCAAAGGAGAAACTATATCAATTAATTTCACAAGGAAGCTCTGTTTTTATTTTAAAATTGTATAAAAAGTTATACAATTTTAAAATAAAAGTAAGAAACATCAGATACAGTTAATGTTAGATATAGTTATATTTGATTTATGATGAATTCAAAAGTTTAATTATATTCAATATTTATATGTTAACTATTTTTTAATAGTACTCTCCTTGTAACAGGACTTACTCATAATATGCATATAAATGTTTTTCAATTTAATTTGAAATTTTTGTTTAAATTTTTCAACCTTACATTTTAATACTATGTTGTTCCGAATACTGAATTTGTAAAAATTATTCTTCCATTTACATGTTATTTTGACACTTGTAAGTTCCTTCTATTTAAAGTCTGATAAAGATAATTTAATATGGTCAAAAACAAGTTAGTAAATAAGCCTCGGTGAATATAGTGATTTCATTATTTAATTTTATGACACTAATATAAAATACCATCAAAATTTAATGAATGTTCCTGAATACAGTTTTCTTTTTAAGATCATTTTTCTTTGCTGTATATAATTACTATTATAAATACAATAAATAAATACTTGCCTTAAAAAATGCTTCATAAATCTGTACAACTTTTTCTTTTAGTGGTTTCTTAGTACTTCCATGTCTACCCATTTTGAAAATTATTTGATTTTAAATTATTAGAATCATTATAAAACACAATATTACCTGGAAAATATGAAAATAATCAAGATTAATTAAACTCTTATCAAAGATACAAAAATTAAATTTGATACTTTAATTATTCCTATAATAATAATTTATTTTCTAAAAACAACACAATACTCGATATACAAACAAAAACTACTCACAAAGTCACTCAAAATCCAACAATTAAACAGTTGCATGAATGTTTTCATCAACCTTTAAGTAGACATCTTCAGGTGCAATTCTAAATGAAGAATTTTCTCATAGAATTGTATTATTCCAACTGAAGATGTCTACTTGCAGGTAAATAAAAACATTCGTGCAACTGTTTAATTGCTAGATTTTGGGTGACTTTGTGAATAGTTTTCATTATTTTCTAAATTAAAATGTTTTGAAAAATGTCCATTAATTATGTAAACTAACAATGAACCAAAAAGTTCTTTAATATTAGAAGTAAGCAATTTATAAATTATCTCTACTAAAAAAACAAATACTGTTTCATAAATAACTGAAGATAGGATTAAATCTTCTTTCATAAAATATTACTCTCCTAATCAAATAATCAAGCTGGATTTATTATCAGCTATATTTTGGCTAATTAAATATAGTAAATGGATAATAAATCTGGCTTGATTTGATTAATAATATGATTTGGACTTGGTTTCTATTTAACACTTATTTTGTTTTTTCTTATTCAAATGGATAAGGAAACAAGCTGTTATGTCATATTATATTAAAATACATAGCATTTCACTAAAGTAAACCAGTACCTACCCATTTTAGGTGTATGGATAAAATTGAAGAAAAACCTTTTTATATGTATGTTCACAAATGTTATTGTGAAAGATTTTTTATGTTTTCTTATGCACTGAAGAAGGGTTTGAAATATAAACAAACCCAAAATGCATTTGCAATGTAATCCAATTTTTAAAAAAAATAAAGATGTTTTTAACCATGATGCTGTGAGATAGTCTACCAAACAAAAGTTTGGATTAAAGAGACGTTCATACACAAGATTCAATATACAGCATCCATAAAACAGAAAAATCATGAAAAAAATTAACTTTTATTATTCATGAATCTGTAAATATTAAAATTATTCATTCAAGTAATTGAGTGAACAATTGAATTCAAGTAAACAATTAGAAATGATAGAAAGTAAACAACTGAAAATGAAGAAATAGAAGCTCTTGACTTTCTAGATCAGGGACAGGCAACCTTTTTCTATGTAAAGGCTGTTATACATGTTACGGAAATCCTCAAAGGATGTACTTAACAGACGAAAAAAAATCAGATATAACTGGCTGGATTGAACATAATAATTTACAAAACTTATTAAAATATTTCCCAACGTATAAAGAATTATTTTTATTTAAAGGTAAATAGATAGAAAAAAAAAATCACGGTTAATCCTCAAAGGATTTCCGTAACGTGTATAACAGCCTTAAGGGCCACATTTCAAAACTTTTGAACTGGCTTGGGCCACATACAAAAGAAAAGAGGAAAATAATGTCAGTAAATTACAATTATTTATTCATGTGTAATTATAAATTAGCATAGGTATACTTAATTTAGTTTCTAGAACTGTTGTAAATGTAATATATCAGAAGTTAAATATTAGTCACTTCTAGTTTTAAATTAATTTCAATGTATCTGTTAGCCAGTTTCTCGTTTTAATTTTTACTAAGTTCATTGCAGAAAAATTATTCATAAACATAAATTATAGAAAATAATGTTTAAATTTTTGCTGCATACTTCCTTAAGCTGGGAAATTGATATATTTATTCATATTTTATGTGAGGCAGGCTGCAAAAAATATTACTGCAGGTTGCCCATCCCTATTTTAGATGGTAAAGATTGTTTGGAAGCCATAACCACTTCATGCAGTAGTATTAGTAGTCTTGATCAAAGTGAAAAAAAGCAGTCTTCCTGAAAATACTCTTGACATTTTAAACATAGCCTATTGATTCAAAAGCAACTTTTTAGGAGTTGACTCCCAAAATCTTTCATAGTTATTGACTTACACAAAAATCAAAGAAAATTTAAAAACAAAAAATGTTAGAATATCATCTTTACTGGAATGGAAAACACTAGATTTTAACAAAAAAGCAACTAAAAATGCTTTACACAGTCACTATGAAATTATTCGTTGAGGTATAAATAATATATGCCTAAACTTTTACCAATTATTCATTATTAGTAAAAGATAGCTACAGTATTTTCATAGTTCAAAAATAGTCCAGTAATTAAGCTTACATTGTTTAATTTGGGCTTTTAGTTAGGCAATTTATACCTTGTACGAATGCAGAAATGAATGAAAACAACATTGGCTTTTCACATTTATAGACCCATCTATATGTAAAAGCAAAACAGTAAGAGTCTAGATATCTTTCCCGAGAGAATGCCATCTCTTTGTGGACATGTCTAGCTTAGAAAGAAACAATGAGAAAACTTCAAAACAATCTCTCACAAAAGATTGCTCTATACTGTATTTTCATTTGGTTTTCTATTCATACAATAAAATCTTAGTATTGTTTCTTACAGAGAATAACTCTTTACCTGCAATTACATACAGTACTTCATTTGCAATAATTCACAATAACTTATTAGAACTTCAAAATTAAATACTGTTTTGAATCGTTCTTCCAACACTTGTTTATTATGTAAAAAATTATAAACAATTCTTGAATAATGAAGTTATTTTCTTATTTATATTTTTAACAGAATATATATGTTTCATATATATTATAATATATATTATATTCAATGCATATTATAATAGATTTAATATTGCTTGAGATCTTCAATACAATAGCTTTTATAATTTAATTTTTAAGACAATAGATATGTAACGTGAACCTATGACTAAAACTTTATTTTTCCGTCGGTCTTATCTTACGTAAAATATAACGTACTGTACAATACGTAGAAAGAATTTTATTCTTCATATTAAGCCTGAAAGTTGCGAAGTTTATAATTAATATTTACAAGTGCTCAATAATATCGAAATATCTAACAACTTACATTCAAAATAGCTAAATTGAAATCTTTTCATTAATTCGTAAATTTCACATTTGAATCCTTAAGTACACTCACACTCGTAAAACGCCCCCTACTGTTTATATCTCATACAATCCTAAATAAACATTTCATTTTGAATTTTTTCCTCCATTTCTATAAATATTTTAATGACTGAATTTTTTTTAAATATTCTATATTTAACATTTTTTTTCTCTTCGTTCTGATTCTCTCTGTCCTATGGATAACAGGAATTGCTTCCTCCTGATGCTCATTAGTAGATTCGACGGAGCCCGACATAACCGGAACAGACCCCATGAATAAATTTCTGGTGTTGCTCGCCTGAATTCGATCCCGAATCCTATAGAGCAGGGGTAGCCAACTTTTGTGTACATAAGATCTACTTTTTATCTTAAAAATGTGTCGCGATCGACTCGTTGTCGTAAGCATAGTCCAAGTCAGGGATGGGCATTCCGCGGCCCGAGTCGCATAAAATGTGTATAAATATATCAATTTCCTAGCTTAAGAAGTATGCAGCAAAAATTCAAACGTTATTTTCTACAACTTATGTGTGTGAATAGTTTTTCCTGCAATGAATTTAGTAAAAATTAAAACGAGAAATCGGCTAACAGACTCACCTCGAAACTAATTTAAAACTAGCAGTGACTAATATTTAATCAAATATTTTTGATACATTACGTTTACATCAGTTCTAGAAGCTAAATTAAGTATACCTATTCTATTTTATAATTATATATGAATAAATAATTGTGATTTACCGGCATTTNCGTGTATCGACAGAAGGCGAGAAGAGAAAATTTACGTACTTAAGTACTAATAGTTCACGAAAATAATAATTTTCGTGAACTATTATTACTTAAGTATGTAAAAATTTATTTCATTTCCTGTTGTACGAAGGTTTTACCCAATTCTCGAACCGTGTCAGAGTAAATCCGTGCTATAAAAGTACCGTGTTATACGGGGGATGGTACCAATTCTCGAACCGTGTTAGAGTGAATCCGTGCTATAGAAGTGCCGTGTTATACGGGGGTTACCTGTATATAGATATAGATGTATTTACGTCGAATGAGCATAATAGTAATGCTGGAATAGAAAGAAAGGGGGAAAAAATTTAAATTGAAATATCATCTGCGCAATCCATCACTGTAATGGACTGTATCGCATTACGATTTAATGATTGTAGACATTCTTGTCATATTATCAGCATTCGCCGTGGTGAATGCTGATAATATGACAAGAATGTTTACAGTCATTAAAATATCTGCAATTTGATTTTCAAGTCATATAAACACGTAATAGCTATCTAAAAGATGCTCGTGACATGGTCATGCTGAAAGATAGCTTACCGCTAAGAGTATCAGAATTCAACTCCGATACAAATTCTTAACATTCGTTATGAAAACGTTATCCATAAATTTAAACACAATTTAATAATAAAAAATAATAATTTTCTGAATTATAGGATTCGTTACATCACTGTAAACATGGGCTAATTTTAAACCTTTTTAACATTTTCGAACACTTTCAACGGAATAAGAACATATTTAATAGTTTTCATGCAATGTTCTAAATATTTTTTAAAATCGATTCGACTACTCTTAACCATTAGATAATGGCTCTGAAAAGAGCCGTTTTGTTGCTAGATTATAAAAATCTACCAGCTCCGTTGTCTGCTCTCCAACAGGATCACCATGAAACTATTCGATTTTATTGACTTTCCTTTCTTTCTGCCTTCTTTCTGCCTCGACTACGTCTTCTGCGAGATCTTCGCTTTCTGCTTCTCTGCTTAAATTTTTCTCTCTTTTTATCTCTTCCCTTGCTTCTCCTTCTGCTTCTTGCGACCCGTCTTTTCTTGGATTCCCCTCTTTTACTAGAACCTATGCGTTTACGTGTTACTCGACGCAGAACAGACTGTCTTTGCATTCTTTCCAAATAATTCTCGCCATTTGCAAATACGTTCTTTAAAATGTAGTCGAGTTTATTATCCAGACGACTCCTTGTAACTTTTGGTGGATTCTCATCCATTACAAGAGATTTTCGCCTTCGTTTGCTTCTTTTATTAATGGGAGAGTCGTTCGCCATGATCTTGAGAATTCTAGAAGCAAAATAACGGAATTCGAAATTATCGAACGATATTTGAAAACGATGTCGTTGTGTGATGTTCGAAATTTGAAAATCAAATTTAAATACGTTTGATAACTTCTATAATTTGGAAATTTAAAAATTATGAGTTTATAGGAACTTATTAAAATAAATCATATATTTGGCACTACAAATATTGCTAAATAAACTATTTTAATGGATTGAAATGACTCTATTTAACATAAAATACACTTTTTAAATAAATTTTCTATTTTCTCTAATTTAAACTGTCCTTACATCTTAGTTTTTCCGCATAATTTTTAAGTAAATGTATACGCAGTGCGTGTAACCTAAAAAAACTGTTATTGAAATGAAGATGCACAATATTTTCTATGAAGCGAAGTGTTGTCAAGTATCAAAAAATGTCGACGTGGATAAAAGGTTTATAGTGACGTTGAAAATTAATATTTAAAAAGCAACGAATTAAATTAAAACGTTTTAGGCGACGGTTTACGTCAGTCTAGTTAATTTTAAAATATTTCGGATTCTCTATCCGAAATATTTTAAAATTATTCGGTTCTCCAGATTCGTCAACACGGCCGGATATTCATTACTGTTGTTTCAAATACAAACATTATTATGAAGCAGCAGGCACATTTCATATTGCTTATATTTGCGAATAATTAAAGATTTAAACAATATATTTGCTAGATTTATATGGAATTAATGCTCTTGTTATATTTTTACGTATAAATTTTATCATTTGAAATGAATTTTATCTTTAAAATGTTCAGTACCGCGATTAACTTTTTCGTTTTGATTTTTAACACTTTGTACATGTTAAATCCAGACAAAAACATCTGAGACGTAAAAAATTACAGCAAGAAAAATTTATGACAATTTAGACGACAGTCAAAATTTTTCTTAGGAGTTTTTCTTTGGTAAAGATAAGCTAGGTGCTTGGAAGCGGTCACAACTTTTTTACCTGTACTGTACAGTACATTTCGCTTCCAAGCCGGAAATAAAAAATTGTTCGTAACTTTTAAACGGTTGGTCGTAAGTAAATTTTTTAATACCAATAGATTCAGCGTGTCAAATTAGGTATAGATATGTCTATGTTTATTCGCTAATATTAAGTCTGACCTTTTTTAGCTGGAGATGTTTTGCTTCAGTCTAACCGAACTTATTAACCATTTTTGGATTTTTCTCGTCAGTGACGCCTTGTTTATAAATAGGACTTAATAAAGAACTTAAAACACTACATGAAAATATAAAAATATATTTTAAACATATGGAATAGTGTTGGCGGTTAATTTAAAACATAAAATTAAAAATAGAGGTAAGTTAGAGGAAGCTGAAGTAGATTTGCAAAGTTACTAAAAGAAATTAGTAAACAGGTGAAAAATATTTTATATAAAATCATTACATATAACTTTACACAATATGTTTGACAAAAAAGTTATAATTTAGAAACATAGAAAAATTTAATTTTGTATATTTCTTTGCAGGGAATTGAATGAACATGAAATAGGTCCTTTTGCAATATATCTTAATACATTAATAAAACAAATGCCATAAAAAAAAAAATGAAGATTGTATGAAAGTACCTTGATAAACATTGTCAATAATTTTATTGATGAAGAATTAACACAAGAATAAGTTTATTAAATAAATATATGTTGTTTATTTAATTTTCAATTCATAATATTCCATTGCCATGATAAATTCCCTTCCGAAACAAAATATTTCGCTGTTTCCAGAGAGGATGAACACCGTATCTTCGTTTTATTTTTATTTCTTCATGCAGTAATTCTAATAGTAAGTGTTTTCTTTGCTAGTAATAAGCGTCCATGTCGAACTATTTTGTATTTTATTTGTATATGGTACGATATTTCATGCTTCTATTCGACGAGTTTGACAGGAACATATGACTCATCATCTTCACGCCACTTTCTCTCGCGTCTGTGTGGTCGTAATAAACGAGAGCGAGAAACAAAAAACGCGTAAAACGTCATCATCTCTTCTCGCTACATACAGTCGATCCCCCTATAAGACGGTAGATACGTTCCGTTCTTTATGAATCAATTTTGTAGGAATTACAGCCAATCACAGCCCGACACGTGTAAAGTTTACGGACTACGGCTGTTTGAAAGGTTTTCTTCCATAAAATTAATCGATTCTAGACTAATCCGACTCAACATTTCCAAAATACGTATACTTTTTTGGAAATAATCCGTATAAACTACGCTATAAACAAAAAGTTGTAGGATTACTTACCGAGTGTGCACCATTCGACATCGCCGTTGCTCAAGCTTGTTTTCGTCGCGGAACAGTTCAGCAAACCGCGGCCGCGATTTCTGATGTTATTTTTCTGCGAAAACTTCGCTGAACTTTGGAGACATCATTAATATAAATAATTTTTATCGCCGTTGAATAAGAAATGTTTCTTTCACAAGAAATGTATAAAATTACAGTACTGTATTAGACTTACGGTACCTAATTTACATACT